TTTCAGATATTGGTATCTCTGTCTCTGTTCTATATGAACAACCAACTAGTCTCACAGCCCAATCTACTTAATATTTAATGAAATGCTCAGTAAAAAAACCCCAAAACTTTAAATAATTTTACTTTTGAAAAGTTATCATAAGGAAATAGAGAGGTACAAAAATATTTCTCTATATTCACTGCAGTGAGATTTACAACAAAATATCAGCAGTAGAAAATTGACTATATAAATTATGGCATTAAGATTAGATACTATACATATTTGATTAATTTTAAACAATAGTAATGATATTAAAAACATTCATCACATAATGGTAAATAATTCAGGATTCAAATCTATGCAATGCAGTTTATATGTTAATAAGTGTAAGATTTACATATTGATATATAAAGAGCAGGAAATAATTAGATCAAAATGTTAACAGTAGGTATTACTTTACTTTTTCTCAAATTTTCTACAATTAATATGTATTATTTTAATTATTGTAAAATTAATGCTAATGAGGAAATGCAAGGAAAAGCAAGCTCTTTAAAGATAAGAGGCTTGGTCTATATAAGGTTATAGTTGCAGGTTTATTTGTGCTGTAGGAGAATGAATATAACTGTGTAAAAACTCACTCATCTTTTTCTGTCTACTCACAATTCTAACTATTATGCCACAGACACAAGGAAAAGCAAAATATACTCTTTGAGACACAGTATCTATGATCTACTTAGTCATTTTCAAAATAACAATCAGTCAGGACCAAAAATCATCCCAAAGGCCCCTGGAACTCCTTTCTTCCCAATATAATTGATAAAACACAACTCCTACCCTCACAGAATACTGCTCAACGCAACTCCTACTTTTCTACTAACAAGTCAGAAATGAGTCTTAATTGGCCATTCTGACTATTTCATACTGTTAATTCTAAAAAAGCATTGATAGGAGACACTGTTTTTCCTTTAGGCATAGAAAAGCAGATGGATGCAGTCAAAACAGCACTGAACTTTGAGTCAAGATATTTATACCAGGATAAATTCCTCAACTCATGACTGAGTGACTTCTCTGTGTCTCAGTTTCCTTACTAAGAAAATAAAGGGATTAGACAATAAATTCTGAAGTCGTCCCTTTTCTAACATTCTAAATACCAACATAACAAGTCTAAAAGCTAGCTAATGATGGCTAATTCCATATACACGCGCAAATTAAGTCTCGTCTTTAAGTCACAATTGTGATTTAAACAATATCGCTACAATATGAAATACTAATAATCTATATAGGAAACATATTTATACAGACATGATCTCATCAAAGTTTATACCCTTCTTATTTTTTTAATTACTTTTCATGACATACTATCAGACTCCCCCTAAAGGTTCTCATAATTCCGTATTTTTTTAAAGAAACAAGAAAAATTTAAGCTATACATAGGTTCATGATCTTTGGGAAAGAATGCAGAAGTTCTAAAAATAGGATAGGCAGAAAAATACAAATGACACAATATAGGATTTTACCAAACTGCTATTTTTAGAGTTCTCTCAAGTGTTACTTCAGAATAAACACATTTCATAAAATGTGGTACATCAAAGGATATAATCCGCTTCCCATTATTTTAAAATATTATAATACAGAACTGAGAATTTTTAAGGATGTTATTCTTCCTAGATCAAAAGGGTTTAAATCGGTCTCCTTTGAAAAAAAGGACCAAAATTTCTTTACAATAATACAAATGTATTTTTATTTGAAAAGCAAAAGTGATTTTTATAGAAATCCAATGTCACACTCAAGAGGCTTATTTCTCTGGAGCCAAAAGTTTACTTTAAAGAGCAGGGTAGATGCCAAGTTACTAATCTAAATAAACGAGCAATTAAAGCAAGGGTTTTCACATTTTGTTTGGAAAAACATTTTTCTCTCAACCTCATCCTGTACTTTCTCAATTTCGGAATCTGAAATTCAATGATATTGGTCTATTCCAGAATAAATAATGTTTTTCCTTAAATTCCAATCTTTTAAACCTGTCTGGCACAATGACAAATAAGATAAATAGGAGGCATTTTACATTTCCTCACTGCCTTCTACAAAAACTGGGGAAAGGTGGAGGCCTTGAGGCTTGGAACTTGTTTCTCTTGTTTCTCTGGATGATGACAAGGGTAAGAAAAGTGAGGAGTGAGGAGAAAGTGGGAGAGTGGAGAGATGAAGGTATCCAGGAAGAGAAGAAGAAGGAAAATTAAGAGAAAAAGAGGCAGAAGCAGATGAAAGAAGGGAAGAAATAAAGGAATACTCATCTAAAAACAATACAGTATTTTTAGACAGCACTTTACCATATATTTTGAATACCACCCTCACAGAGATAGCATATTCAAAATAATAAATTACAGTTTAGCTCATTAACAATTTATTAACATTTAATTAATTCATTACTCACTATGTGCCAAGGGTTTCTGCTAGCTGCTTACGTTAAAGAGGTACAATTCTCTGGATGTCACAGTTTTACTCAGAATAAGACCAAAGAATCTGTAGTAAACTATTACTCTGATAGATATCACTCCTCTCTATAAAACTACTACAGTAGATTATCCTCTAGAAAGAGTTCAGAGGAAAGCTGATTTGTAATTACTGATATGTTGGATGGCATTAACCACATCAAATAAAGTATCTACAGATATTATCCAAATACTATTCAAAAATAAAAGTACCACATACAAAAATTAGTTAATTTATATTTAAAAAGAGTATGTTTAGAGATTTGTGAAACTGTGAAATTTATCACAGAGACAGCATAAAAAGAAGAGACTGGCTCCCGTGACATTATCTGTGTTTTGCTGGCACCTGGACTGATGCAGAATACACAAGCATGTGCTGAAAAAATGCTTAAAAAAATAAAATAAAAAGTTTGAGAATTCCATTATATTTAAATAAAATTTAAAATTCTGTCAGTCAATTTGAGAAAATCTGAAATGTAACATCTTTTATCAAAACAATGCCCTCTGTGACAGTATCATTTTGAAAAACATATATGACAACGACAACTTTTAAAGCTTAATAGGCTATTTTAATTATATAAAAGATTCAACTCTGGCAGGATATCTTTCTGCAGGTATAGAATTCACTTGTTTTTATCTATTACAAACCATGTATTATTTTGTTTGAAGTGACAGATGAGAAAAACGAACCTAACAAAATACTGTGAAACAGACACCATGCAAAAGACAAAAGGCCATCTTCTGATAAGGATGATAGTCCACCATCTGTCCCCTTGCCATTCAGTGACAATTACAAATACTCCATCACTTTCCTGGTAGGTGGAGATGATAAATGAGATAAAGACTTCTGTTGCAGATTCTGATGTTCCTTTCTGATCTAATCTGAGCTTTAACAGATGACTCCAAAGAAAGCCCAGAATTCAACAAGCTTTTAATTTATCATGCTGTGAAGATGGAGAAAGGTCTGAGCTCAACACTGCAACATGGAATGGTTAAGTTGTATTGAACCAAGCCTTGTCATGAAACGTGTTTTCTCAGAATTCTCAGATTTCAAATACAGCAAGTTAGATTACTATCAGCTTTCATCCTTAGAAATCATTTCAATATTATCCCAGTGACAATATCACCATAGATCACAAATAACATCACAGTTTCAATACAAGATCAAAGGGATAATAATGCTCAGAAACAGAGACAGAACTCCTTAGTTGTGAGAGGCTTTCATGGCCCTGGGTGAGAAGGGCTTGAGGGAATCAGCAGATTCACATCCTACTCAATGGCACCAAAATAAACATTCCTTTTAAGTCTATTAACTTCTTTTAAATGTTTAAGAAAAGGATACATGCCAAAATATAAATACATAGGTTAAAATAAAAGGATAGAAAAGGATATACTACTCTAACACTAGATAAAAGAAAGGTGGAGTAGCTATACTAATAATATACAAGGTAGCAAAGAAAATTATTTGGACTAAAGAAGGTCATTCCATAACAATAAAGGGGTCAAGTAATCAAGAGGACATAATAATCATTAGCATTTATGCATCTAAGAACACAGCTTTAAACTACATGAAACAAAAACTGATTGAACGGCCAAGAGAAACTTACACATTCACAATTAAAATCAAAGATTTTTATATCCCTCTCTCAAAAATTGATAGAAAAAAAGTTGGCAGAAAATCAGCAAGGATATAGTTGATGAGGAAACTTTTTGAGGTGACAGATATGTTCACTATCTTTATCATGGGTATGGTTTCATGGATGTATGGATATGCTAAAACTTATTAAATTGTAAACTTAGAAATAAGTACAGCTTAATATATGACAGTTATACCTCAAAGCTCTTTAAAAAGAGCAACAAATTTCCAATTTGTATGAATTTAGGCACTACAATATTGCTTGGAAAAAAGTTAAGTACAAAAAGATTACATATTACTTTTTTATAGAGCAGAAAACAACTAAAATAAAAGTCTACTTTTTAGGAATAGATCTAGATGCAAAAATAAAACTATAAAGGGAACAGGAGAAAAAGGAGGGAAAAGGGAGGAGAAGAACATAAAGGACACATCAAGCAACACTAACCAAACCCAGGTTTGTAATATTAATACCATACAAAAATAATCTTGAAGGAGAGGGATGTTTCATATTCTTAAAAAGTAAAATTTCTCAGTAAGATAAAAAATATGGCCATGATGATAAAACTTTGTGATATATACACAACAAAATTTGATTTTAAACATAGAAAAAGACATGAGTAAATAATAATAGCATATTGGCAGTCTTTCCATTCTTGAGAAAAGGATATTAATGAGCACAAAAAATAGGTAAAAAAAAAAACCTAAGAATATTTGTGTAACAATGAACACATCTGATCTAATATATATTATATGTACCCAAAGAGAGAAAATATATTCTTGTTAAAATTTTATAAAGTATTGAGCTATAAAGAAAACCAATAAACTCCCCAAAGTAGAACCTATATAGCCATAATCTCCGACCATAATGCAATAAAAGTTGAAATTAAAAACAAAGAATAGTGCTCATTTTGGCAGCACATATTTTAAAACTGAAGCAACGCACAGAAGATTAGTCTGGTCCCTATGCGAGATGGAAATCAAATCCATGAATCACTTCACACTTTTAAAAACACACATGCATTCATATTCATAAAACAAAACAAAAAGCACTGCCATCTATAACCTTGGAAATATTTTTTTGCTTTTCTTTTCTTTTCTCTTTTTTTTGGTGAGGAAGATTGGCCCTGAGCTAACATCTGTTGCCCATCTTCCTCTGTTTTTTTTCTCCCCAAAGCCCCAGTACATAGTTGTATATCCTAGTTGTAAGTCATTCTAGTTCTTCTATGTGGGATGCTGCCACAGCATGGCTTTATGAGCAGTGTGTAGGTCTGCGCCTAGGATCCAAACTGGCAAACCCTGGGCCACCAAGGCAGAACACACGAACTTAACCACTATGCCACCATACTAGCCCCAGAAATACCTTTTTAAAAAGGAAATAAAAACTGAAATTAAAAAAGTTTAAAGTTCACTGATTACTTAGAAATAAAAGAAGCCTGTAAGAAATGTTTAAGGCCAAAATGAAGAAAACTACTTTACTAAATGACACACACACAAGCACAAATGCAAGACATAAGTAGACAAATATGCTGCTGGATGGAAGGAAAAAATTAATATTTAAAAGATGCCAATTTAATCTATAATTTTAACAAAATCTCGAATCAAAATTCAAAGAAGATTTTCTTAGCTTAACAAGTTAATTGCAAAGATTACATACAAATTGAAAAGCAAAGGAATAGCCAAGGCGACTTTGAAAAAGAATAAAGGGAACAAACTTACCTTATTAGGAATGGAAGCAAGACTACAGCAAATAATATCTACCTAATTCTTAGAAAAAATAATTGTCAAGCTACAAATCTATACCCAGTGAAATATCTTTCACAAACAAAAGTACATATAAATAAAAACAGAATTTCCTACCAAGAGATTTTGACTAACCCGAGCGGTGACTACACAGATAGTTGTTTCATTAATATTCTACAAACAGTGTGTATCTATCTATTTATCTATCTCACAGACTCTTCTGTGTATATAATAAATTTCACTAAAATATTTAAAAGTAGAAAAAATATACCATGCAAACTCTAAATAAGTGAAACTTGGTCTATCTATATTGCTGTCAAACAAAATAGACTAAGAATATTTTTCAGAGTTAGAAAAAATATCCCAATTTGCTTTGTGAATCTATCATGAACTTGATGTTAAAATCCCAAAGCAACAGCAGAAAAAAAGGAAAACTATACACTTAGAGCATTACTCATCCTAAAAAGTCATTTCAGAGTAAAAGGCTAAATTCATTAGGAAGATATACAATTCCAAACTAGTATGCTCTTAATAACATAGCCCCAAAATAAAAAAAAGCAAGAATTGACAGAAGAAGAAATAAATCTATCATCATAGTGGAAGACTTTAACCCCTTCAATCAGTAATTCAAAAAAACAGCAGATAAAAATCAATATGGATACAGAAGATTGTAATATCATAATTAATACGTTTGATAGACTAGACAACTTGAAAACAGACATTCTCTAGAAGAATATCGAACATTTACAAAAACTGACCATGTACTATGCTATGCCATATTTCAAATGATTTCCAAGACTACATTCTCTGATCTTATTGCAATTAAGTTAGAAATCAATAGACATAACTCCTATGTTTGGAAATTTCAAATCAACTCATGGGGCAAAGAAAAAATTATGAAGGAAATTAGAAAAGATTTAGAAATGAATAATAATGAAAATACTTTGTTTCAGAGAGCCCTAGAAATTAGTACCTTTAAGTATTTACATTAGAAAAAAGGTTGAAAATTAATGAGCCATGCATTCATCTTAAGGAGTTAGAAAAAGAGTGGCAAAATAAACTCCAAGAATGAAGTAAACAGGAAATAATGAAACCAAGAGGTGACATTAATGAAATAGGAAACAAAGAAGCAATAGACAGAATCAAAAAAATCAAAACCAAATCCTTGGAAATACTAATAAAATAGACAAACTTCTGGCAAGAATGATCAAGAAAAAAAAAATAAAGGAACAAATAAAAAATGTTATAAATGGTAAGGAGATACAGCTAAAGTTCTATATAAAAATCATAGAATACTACGAAAAATTTTTGCCAAGACCTTTGAAAAGTTAAGAAGAAAACATATAATTTCCTAGAAAATGAAAACTTACCAAAACAGATGTAGTAAATCATACAAAATCAAAATGCACTCAAAGAAATAATTACTAATTTAAAATCTAACCAACCAATTAGGATGGCTACTATCAAAAAAACATAAAATAATAATGTTGGTGAGGACGTGGAGAAATTGGTACCAGCCGTGCACAGCTTTCTGTGTGTGAGAAGTAGTGCAGCTGTGGTGGAAAGCAGCATGATGTTTCTCAAAATACTAAAAACAGAATTACCATATGATCCAGAAATCTACTTCTGGATGGATATTAAAATAACTGAAAGCAAGTGCTTGAACACATATTTGTACACTCATGTCCAGAGCACCATTATTTGCAATAGCCAAAAGGTAGAAGCTACCCAACTGCCCATCAACAAATGAATAGATAAACAAAATATGGTATATACGTTCAATGGAATATTATTCAGCACTAAAAAGGAAGAAAAATCTGACATATGCTACAATATGGTTGAAACTGGAGGACATTATGCTTAGTGAAATAAGCCAGTCACAAAAGAACAAATACTGCATGATTCCACTTATGTGAGGTATGTGAGATAGTCAAATCCCAAGACAGAAAGTAGAATGGTGGTTGCCAGGGCCTGGGGAGAGAGAGAATGGGGAGTTATTGACTAAAGGTATAGAGTTTCAGTTTTGCAAGATGAAAAGACTTCTGTGGATGGATGTTGGTGATAGCTGCAGAACAATGTGAATGTACTTAACACTACTGAACTGTACATTTAAAAAGGGTTAAGATGGTAAATTTTAAGTTATACATATTTTACCAAAAGTAAAAAATAGAAAAAAAATTTTTGCAAAAAACACATACTAGGAAAATACAATTTTATAGACACATTAAGCAAAACCTTCAAAGAGGAAATTATTTCTATTTTATGCAACCTGTCCCAGAAATTAAGATAAAAAATACAGGAAAAACTAGCCAGCTGAAATTATGAAGCTAATATAATCTTGCAAAGAGAAAAATTAGGAAAATCCTAAATATTTGCAAAACAAATTCAATTATGTATTCTTAAATCATGACGAAATAAGTTTAGTATCAGAAAAGCCATTAATGTAATATATCACATTAAAAAGTTAAATGAAAAAAGCAACCTTTCCGTAAGATCCAGAAAACATTCAATGAAAATTAATACTTATTATTTTTAATATCTTACAAAACTAGGGATAGCAGGAACTTTCTTAACGTGATAAAAGCCATTTATAGAAATCTGTAAATTAATTAAAACTGCAAATCAGAAAAGAAACAGGGCAAAAAAAAAACCCAGTCAATTTCACTCATCTTAAAATGCCAAGTTACTGAACTAGCTATCTGTGTAAACCTAAATCTTACATATTGATTAACACAGATGAAAAGGTGGCAAGAGTCAACTATCCATGCCGCAATTTATCTGTTCTTGGGGCAATTCTACGATGCCAAAAAGTCAACATGGACTTAAGAATACATGCACCTACCTAACAAATCTCATCAAAGTGGTCCTAAATAGAATCCAGTATGTGGTCTCCTATAATGGCATCAAAAAATATTGCAACAATTAAAAGAATAAAGGAATAAGGCTGTAACTGGCCAAAATAACCAACTTCACTATGAAGGCCTTTTATGCATTCATTTATCTAATTTTAAACATGAATAAAAAACAATGGACAGGATGCAAAAGACTCCTGAGCAAGATGGACAGGTACACAATCTCCAGTGTTTTATTTCTTTAAATTTTTAATGCTTTTGCTTTTATCAAAGTTACCCATGCACAAAATTTACACAGTCAATGATTCTGCTCTCCCACTTCTTTTCACAATCCAGAGGCACTGATGTAAGCTGATAATTTTATCTTTTTTCTATATATTCTTTAATATATATTTGTACTGCTACATCTTCATTTTTCAGTTTTAGAATTATCTATTGACTTGTCACCATAAAACATAAGAATTTAGCTCTATTCCTTGAACCTGGCCTCAGCAGCTACACACTATATCCCTCATATCACTCCATCTTCCAAAATGGAGGGGAAAAAAAGTGTTATCTAATTATCAAGGTGGCAGAAGTATGGGGTTTACCACATTACTTTCTGATGTTGAAATACTTGATAATCTAAAAACAATTTTTTTTGAGAGAGAGAACCAAATTGTAGGATTGTGAAAATTCTGTTTTATAGCTTTGTGATTTTCCTGACACAATAGATATGCCTACTTCACTGATTCCGAGAGAGGCCAAATTGACAAAACAATTATTACTAAAATTCAGTAATTGTGATCAGAGATGGGCATTCCCTGCTCCTCTATAAATACCTACTTTGGAACTAAAACAATGGTCACTGTGTTTCAGATAAAGAACCTAATAAAGTCTTAATTAAAAGCATTTATAATCAATAGCTTATAAAGAAAAAATAGGATAATTATCTAAATTAGGCAGGTAAAATACTAAACTTGCCATCTACCCTCATCAGGGCAAGAGAGTTCTCACTCATAAACTCCTATAAATAAACCCACTTCTTTTATTCCTCATACATGAAGTTGTAATATTGTGGATTTCAAGATGAAGCACACATAAAATTTCTATATAAAGAAGTACATGTTGCAAAACTTTGAGAGCATATTGAAGTAGAAGCAGCTTGAGTTATATAAATTTGCCTCACTGTAACCCTGTTTCTGATCCTTGATGATCCAACTGAAAGAGAGCAGCTGTGAAATAATCATCAGAGTTGCTCCAGTCTTTTAATACCATGCAAGGCCACAATTCTACTACTCCTCACAATTGACACATAAGAGCCAGAAGAGAAAGTATCAGTCTCCACTTGGTGGATGTATAAAAGTAGCCACAATTCTAGTCATTCTAAACGACCATAATCTGGAATAAGAGTTTAAGGTTTTATGTCTTTAA